CGAGAGAGTCGCGCACTCTACCATACGCTCTGTATCTCAGCGTTTCTCTCTCTCAATAAATACTGCATTAAAAAGATTATAAAATAATAAAAGTCGACGTTGGCTCTTCATGTTGTTGTTGAAGTTTTTGTTGTTGTTGTTGTTGTTGTTGTACGTGTTTGTGACGTTTAATTTACACGATCTCCATTTTAAGTGCGGGCTACCGAGTTCGTATCCCAGTTCGAGCCAGGCTATAAACGGAATTATGGCATTTTAAGTGGGCAACAGAGCCCATTTGATTGTTTTGCCTATTTTATTTTTATTTTTATTTAGCCAGCCTGTTGAGATTCGCCAAATGCGTCCCAAGACGCTGAAAACAGTTAGGATTCGCCTTAAGTTACAAATGGGCAACAGCAAGACAGGCTCTTTGCATGCGTATAAATAAGTAAATAAATATATATTTTGATTTAAATGGCAGTGACAGAAACTGCAGACAAGGGCAGCAGGCAATCGCTATAAATAATATCAATTTAAATGTGCCAAGGAATACATATATATCAAGTATCTACATATGTATATATGCATATATATATCTTAGCATATAAATTGTGGCAAAATACCATGGAAATGCGCAGAGCTTTGAGTTGGACTTCAAATGGTTCTGATAGAATGGTTAAAGGAAGATATAAACAAAGACATCTGCACTTCTCAGTATTTTTAATCATTAGGTAGCATAGAATAGAGCGAAGGAGAGAGCGGGAGAGGAAGATATTATCAAGATATTATCCTTGCAAAGAATTTAGCTGTAAGATTTAATATTCAACTTAACTCTTCAAATTTAATAAGCCTTAAAAACCGTATGAACTAGAATTAGCAAGACTGAGATAGAAAAAGATGGAGAAAGGGAGAGAGAGATATATATAGATAGAGAATGAGAGAGCAATAGAACTAGTAAAATATTTTAAAGATTACATTCTATTTAAAAGTTTAGGTGCAAATTCATAGACCAAACTTTTTAAGATCAAATTAGTTTGGAAAATCATGAGATAAAGTCAGGGTAATATATATAGAAAAGGATAAAGATAAAGATAAAGAAGGGAAATATAATAATCTAATAATATCTCTGCTACATAATATTGTTCATGTGTAACCCCTTTTTGAAGCGCACATCAAAAAACTAACCAGAATTCTTATTTACAAAAAAAAGTTTCCTTCCGTTTTTTTGTTCTTCAAAAAATACAACGAATTTGCATAAACCTTGTACCACTGTGCGTCTGCCTCCAACTACACATGTGAGAAAACGTTTAAAAATAGTCAGCTAAAGAAAAATGAAGAAAAATAAAATGGAAAAAGCAAAAACAAAAACAAAAAGGAAACTTCACTTCGGGACGTGAGCAAAATATAAGCATGCTTGTTATGTTATCCTCGGCAGACCTCCAGGCGGGCCCAAATTTATGTAAATTAAGCATGCTTTAAGCTGAGATTCTTTTTTTGGTATATTATTTATGAATGCAACAGGTGTTGGGGCTCGAGTGCGGGCAACTGGATATGCCTGATGTCTAAGGCTGCCGGTCAAGGAAATTCAGCAACGCCAGCATTTTCCTTCCTGCCCCCGCCGCAGCAATAGGATTTCGTTAACTGCTTGTTATGCAGTGCACAGGGTTATGGCTATGCAGACCTCTAGCCAGTGTATTGAACCCCAGCAGCAGCAGCAGCAGCAGCAAAAATGGTGGCAGCTGAAGATTGGCTGCCACAAAGGCGGCTTGTCTTTGCTTTGTGCGTGTGTGTGCGTCTGTGTGTGTAATCTGATGAGCAGATGTTCTGAGAATTGACTACAACAGGCTGCACATGCCACGCTTGTGGCACTCACTCATAAACAAGTGCAACGCATTGCAGTAGCGTTTCTGGCGTTTGACCCCAAATCACCTGCCACAGTTGCAGTCGAGCAATTAAAAACAGTCCATAAACTGATATATGGCACATTGCCCCCCTTCCCCCGCCAGACCATTTTGCCAACTGTTTACTTATGGTTGCTTTGATGTGCGAAGTTGTGTATGTATTTGTATGCACAATTGGCCAAAAGCATTTTAGCCAAATTTGGACAAATGTTTGCCTGGCACGCGCCATATGCAAAACAGTTGCCCGTTTGTTTCGAGTGCATGTGTGGAGTTCACGCTTCCGTGCCATTAACACGTTTGAACAACCCACACACACACACTCACACACTCGCACACTTGGCCACAAAAGCCAAACAGTCAACGGCCAACAGCCAACAATTATGCAAAGTTCCTGTTGGCCAACAAACGAACAAACGCACCCCGCGCGCTCTGGTCGCCTTTTGGCCCGGGGCTTATTGACAATTGTGCAAATTTTCAATTTATGTTTCTGCTTGTCATGGCTGCCACACCCACTGGAGGGCAGGCGCATCGCTACGATTCGTTTATTGACTCTTGTCATTTTCTTGTTGTTGTTGTTGTTGATGTTTGCCTTTTCCGCGCAGGTTGCGCATCCGCCATGTTGCACAGAGTCAACATATTCCGACAATTGGAGAGTCTAAACAGCAAAATGCAACTGCAACTGCACTTTGCCGGAAATGTGTGCCCCACACACACACACACACACACACACAGAGAGAGAGAGAGAGAGAAAACTTGTGCCAATGTTTATCTCATTTGCATATTGCCGTTTGATAGCTGAACATTTGAAAATTATGAACTCGTTTTAGAATTTGAACTGCCTGCACAAATATGGCACAGCCAATGGGGGAAATTGATAAAAAAAACAAAAACAATTTGTTTTTGTTTCTGCCATAAATTTAGGTGCTAAAAGCTGCGGCTGCAAGTGTGTCAATTGCCCGTGCGCTCAATGTGACAAACTGGCATGGAAATTGCAATTGTCCAGTTTTACTTCATAAATGGACACCCGGCCATAATTTCTCTATGCGTGGGGCCTGTCAAAACTGTGTTGCCGTTAGCTTCATCATTTGGCGTGGCTATTGCAATAAATGCTGACTAGAACTTTGGTTTATTGAATAGCCACAAATATATCTATGTATGTATATCTTTTGCATATATAAAGATTAATTTTGTGGAAGTGTTTGTTTTCTAATATTGCGTATATGCAGAAACTGACTTCATTCTCACTTCATTAGCATTCTAATATTGCCTATACATTTATTAGATTTTAGCTAGAAGATTTTCTAGTTTTGTGAATTAACTGAAATTCTAAGTTGTGCTCACATTTTCTAAAATTAATTAATCAATATTTTCTCTTTTAAAATTAATTGTAGCTTTAGTCATAACTTATGTAAATATAATGTATAATGTTTAAATAATTTGTTTTGTTTGTTATCTAATCAATTGAGTTTCCTTTCCCTCCACTCAATATCTAATTATTGTTTACAGCATTTGATGCAAGTGCTCTTCAAGCTATTTGCTCTAAAATTGAGTTGATAATCTTTTCGGCTTGTGCTCGAGTATTCCTTCAAGTGGCTATGCTGGGCTGTCAATTCCCTGTCAATGGCAGCCTTGAAGGCGCATATGGCTTGTTGGCTATAAATAAATTTGCCAAAGTGAAGTCCTGAGCGTCTCATAAACCATAAAGTTATGACTTTAACCGCGCAGAGTCGTCAGAGATGCAAGTTTGCTTGCGTCCCTGGCCGCGGGGCAATCAGGCATGCAGCTACACATTTCGGTGGCATACATCACAATGAGGCGACAGCGACTGTCAATGTCAAGCCGGGCCAGAAGCGAGACGTCAGTTGGGATGGAACAGCGGCTCATTACGCTTCAAAACAAAGCCAACTCTGGCGACACACTGGCGACAATGGCCACTAACAGCAACAAAAGCAACAACAACAATTCAACATATACAATTATCACTTGCGTAAACATTTAAATGTTGTTAAAGCGGCAGAGACCAGACCCGTGGCGCCTGCCCAAGCCAGCACCGGCAGGCGAAGGCGGAGCATTTGTTGGTGGGGGAAAGGGGCGGGGTCGGGGTTTTCGGGTGCGGACCAGCGCTTAATATGCAAACGTGATGCACAGAGCCAGAGCGCGTTTCTCGGGATCGGCCCCGTCAAGCTGACAGCCGCCAAAGTGCAAAAAATGCGAACGTGAAACGAGGCCAGAAAATGGAATTTCTATTTAAATATATATTTAAAACTTGTTCAGCATGAACTAATATTAATGCAATTAGTGTCACATTGCAAACGGTATTTATAGCCATAGATACTATATAGTTGCCTTGTTTCTCTTAAAGTTGAACAAATAAAATGTACTTCAATTTTCACTACAAGTACAAAACTTGAAAACTAAAATTTGAACAAAGGAATATTCTCAAAAGTTTTCGAAGGAAAATTGAAAGTCAGAAAAAGTTTCCTTCTAGCAGAGGCTTTTGTAAGACTTATCTCTATGATAGAAATCTTTGCTTTTTTTGGGCTGGGAGCTTTAGAATTTCTTTTGATATACATATACACACATATCTTACAGGTCAACAGATCTCATAGATCGCAAGCCTGAGCTGGCAAACCAAATAGAAAGTTGAAGAAAATAGCAATTTCTATAATTCAAAAAATTAATTTCAAAGATAAATGTGATGTACTTATGTTAGAAAATGCACCTTTACCTTTTGAGTATTTTTTAGAATGCATAATATATCTTATCTTATCTTAGATAAATGTGCCCAAGCACAAGAACTTAATACGATAATTAAAGGAAAGAAACTTGTTCTTTTTCTAATTTTATAAAAAGAAACTCAAATAAATAGAATGGACCTTTATTTGGAAAAAATGTCTCCTATATCTCTTAAGCATACTTAGGATGTTTCATAGGTTAACAGATCTAAAGATCAACAGTTTAAATATCTCTCACGTAAAATCCCAAACTAAAAAATTCCGACTTCTATAATTATATAAAATATCTGAAGAAATACTATGCACTTTTCCGCCCCTTGGGATCGCTGACTATCAGTTGACAATATTTTCGAAATTGCATATTTTGTAATATTTTTGGCTCACTCACCTCTTCGACGATAGGATGAGCCGCGAAATTTGTTCGGCGATAGCACGGGGGGACGCGGGGCCAGCATGCTGGGCACCTCATCCGGCGAGCTGGGTCCAATCGATGGCGATGTGCATGTGGATGCGGATGTGTTGAACTGGCGCTGCTGCTGCTGCTGCTGCGGCGGCTGCTGTGCCCAGTTGCCGAACGAGTGACGACGTGTGCCGCCGCTTGGCAGCGTGTGATGGCGCTGGGATTTGCTGTAGATGAGGCCAGATGAAAGCAGAGCAAAGAACGCACGATTAGCACAGTCAATGTTAAGCCGAGGGAATGGGGAATGGGGAATGGGAACAGGGGGTATGGGGTATGGCAATGGGGAACTGTTTGGCAAACTGTCAACAGCTGCATCCTGTCAACGGGCACACGCCCCAGATCACTCACCTTGCATTGAAGACCTCGTCGTGTTCGGCGCCGCCTCCAGGGCAATGGGAGCTGTGCGTCTCATTGCAGGAGCCGAGCCGTTCGCGAAACGACTCCGATTGCGAATTGGATGAGCGCTGGCAATACATCAACGGCTGCAGTTCAAACGATTGCTGTGGATTTGGTAAACAGTAGCAGAATGTTATTAGAGAGAGGGATGGAGGGGGCGGAGTGAGACGAAAACAGCAAACAGGAAGTTGTGCAGATCGGACAAGATAAATTGGAATTTTATGGACGGAAAACTCACTTGTGAGAAACCGCCCAGAGAGTTGAAGCTGCCGCGCGGGCTGCCAAAGGCCATCGTTGCTGTCGTATCCAGATTGGCCGATGTGATGAGACGCATCTGTTCCGGATTGGCGGCCAGTGCGGGTCGTGGACTGCTGCCCTTAGAGTTCCGGCGTTTGAATATCGAGAAGCCCTTGCCGGATGACTGCGAGTCCGGCGTGCGGGGCGATTTGGCATCATTGAAATAACACGGATTGTCTAAAAGTAAGGAAGATCATTTACAACATTTCAGTTTGATATCTATGGAGCTCTACTTCCTACAGGTGAGTGTAGAATAAATCTTAAGTTAATCAAATTGATGTCTTATTATTTCTATTACTATGTTGAAAGTTCGTACTATAATAGTATTACTATCAATTAGGGCCAAGGACTCGAGAAAAAATTGTGGATGTTTTTATTAAACATTTTTGGCTTGAAAACATAATATAACTAAAGGAACTGTTAGTAACAAATTGTATATAATTTTATATATATTTTGCATATTTTAATATTCATTCTATCAAAATTCATAGTTCAAACAAAATTGAAAATGATTCCTTGAAGAATTTTACATTATTAGCAGATATTAATAGATAATAATCGATAGGTAGCCAATTTTAAATAATTATTCATTTAAACATGATATACCCAGACAATTTTTGTTTTCTTAAAAGAACTGAGCCTTAACTTTCATTTAGGAAAAACAAGCAAAACAACCACAACTTTTTGTTAGTTCAACTTTCACAGCTTAAGCACATATGCCCAAACTTCGCATTTTTTCTATATTATTTTTAATTTTTACCTGAGAAGAAGGCGTTTGTATTATCCATAGTGAGAAACATCTTGAGATCGTATCAAGCTGAGTCGCTTCAAGTTCGTTCGATAACTTGGATAATCTGTGCACGATTGTTTTGCTGTCTATTCACAAATGCAATTTATGATGCATTTTCATTGTTGTTGGAAAGCGAGAGGCGGTTCGTAGCTGCACTTTCACTGGTTGCGCATGCGCACGCGCCAAAAGACTTCAGCACACACGTACACACACATACACAGAGACGAAGTCTGCGTTGCACAGCGCCAAAAATGGCAAACGATAAATTACAAGAAAAAATTAAAAGCTTTTGGTTTCACTGCTTAGATTGTGCGCAATTGTCAGTTTGATTGATTTTATTTCGAAAGCGCGCCAAATACATTCAAATTGTAACGGGCAAAAAATTGTCGTTGTTGTTGTTGTCTGTTTGATTTACTCAACGCGCTGCGCGTGCGTTTGCATTGAATTCCCGAAACGGAATAAATTCTAAAACTTCAACGAGAACAAAACACTTGAGTCGTCAGCGTCGGCGTCGACGCCCGCGTCGTCGTTGAAGCGTCGCTGCCGCGGCCGCTGCCATAGAGAATCCCTCGCCGCTATGGTTATTTTCTGTGTTTGCCTTGCGCTTCTTCTGGCTCTGCAGCATTGCCTCTCCGTCGCACACGCACAGCACGCAACACACACGCACACATGCACATACGCATGCGGGATCAGTGTTTAAATATGGTTAACATATTGCACCCACTCACTGCTGCTCTGCCGCTGCCGCTGTCGCTGTCGCTGCCGCTGGCACTGCTGCTGCCACTCTGCGTGGCCACTCGAGTGCGCAAGGAAAAACTCAACATGAGGCGAGCTCACTTTTCCAGCAACATTGTAGTTGTTGTTTCAGTTGTTGCTGTTGTTGTACCTGCGCATGTTTTTCTTTTGCGTGCGTTTTTCGCATGATCAAAATACTGTTGTCTCTTGCGCATGATTTTTGTTACCCAACTATCCCATCGTACTCCCTACTCCCGTACCCACAGCCGGTCTCATCCCATAAATGCAGGGAACGTTTTGTCTTGAGCTCGTCGCGCATATTTGATGAGTTCCGATAGGTAAGAGCACTCGTACCGACAACAACAACAACAACTTTTTAACTAATGCTATATTCATACATAAGTACAAAGGTAGTTTTGTATGCATCGTGTCTTATCAGTGTCAAAGTTTGAATTTGTCTCTGCTGTCAGAGGACAAAGGATTTCGAGTGGGTTTTTATTCCAGTTGATTGTCCTCTAAGCAGGGAACTTATTCTTACATTTTCAGTTTAAAATTTTTCTGGATTAAGAATCGGAAACAACTAAGACGATTTCCGAAAAAAAAATCAATATTAGAAATTACCCTGATACAAATATTTTGTTAATACTTTCAAGCATTTTATGCCTAAGTTGAAGAGTTTTGGGCATCTTGTGAACTCTTCCAAGACGTCTGTTATAAGAAAGATAATTATTTTATTTGAAAAGAGCATAAATTCGAAAAATTTTGAGAAAGTACTCTACTCCACAATGTATGTCTGGCGCATAATCCTTTGAACTATAAAGTATATCTGGTTCGGGCATTATCCTATGATCTTTACTTTCCTAGCTGAGCATTTGGCATATTCCCCTCGCCGTTAACAAGAGTCGCATGGCCAAGTGGCAATCAATGAAATGTTCCGGCCAAAATAGACAACCATAATAAAAGGCGATGCAAAAAAGACGACAATTACGAGAATGCAAAAAGTTTGGGGGAAGAGAATAGAGAGCCGAGCGATCATCAAAGGCCAACATCTGAGGTATGCACATTAAAAATTTGTTAGACGGGCGCATTGAAAATGTCCATGAGACAGGGAATAGGAAACATACCGCTACATACGACCCGGCACAATAATTAAGGAAAGGCACGACCAAAGCTGTGACTCCAGAGCGACTCCATGTGGCAGACGGCGGAATTTCTGAAGTGGACTGGGACTGGGACTGGGCCAACGAATGTGGCAGATGCAACGCACATTGGGACCTATGGAAAACTCGTAAAAAGTCGGTCGCTGCGTAGAAATTGCACATTTCGTAGTTCATAAAATGTAGAAACGGACCCGGGCGAAGAGGGTTGCGGGTTGAGTGCGCACTCAGCCCAAATTGTTGCTCGGCCTCTCCAGGGGCAAGTGTGTGTGTGTGTGTGCCTCTCTGTGTGTGTGTGTGTGTGCTTGCGATGGCATGGCATGGGCAACGTGTGCCACCAGTCGCTTGTGGATGCAAATGATCTTGAAATGTGCATCTAGTACTTGCACTTATACAATTGCATTTGCCTGCACATAAATGTCAAGTTGTTGTCTTCGCCTGCACGCACTTTGACTCTGTTTGGTTCTTGAGTGCGGCATAGGAATTGCCGTTGCGTTCTATAAGCCTCGCCTTGCCCCGTTTCTAGTCGTAAATCTGTAGACGCTCAACTGCTACCTAAACTGGAGCACAGCGACAGCAACCCTTCCGCATAGGCAGCTCCTCCTCTGGACACCATTTGGGAGCACTCGCTGATTGTTCTATGGCGTTGACAGGTTAATCACTTTGATGGTGTCTCTGTTGTTATAGTTCTCTTGGGTCAGTTTTGGTTTTACATATTATGAAGTGATTCACCTTTGTTGCAGTACCACAAATGCATTGAGCCGAAAATAGAACGTTTGTATGGAGTACTTATTTGAAAAGCAATCATACACTTTTGGGAACTAGGAAATCAAAAATAGTCATATAATAATAATGAGTATATCAACCATTTACGGGCATATATATGACTTAAATTACGCATTAAATGTGCTTCATGGCAATCAAATTCATCCCATCAAGGTCATTTAAGTAAGAAAGTGAGGCACGCCGAAGGTTAAATACCCTTGTAGACATTTGCCCTACGGTTTTGCAGATATGTGAGATTAGTGTACCTCGTAAATGCTGAGTTTGATGAAAATATCTTGAAAAACGGACTTATATGACAGCAATACGATATAGTTGCCCTCTATGTCTTCTATATAGTGGTCCGATCCGGCTGATTTCGACATATGCGTTGCCTGCAACAGAAAGACAGACCCATTCATAGGCTCAAGACGATAGACAACTCGCCTGTTGACGCTGATCTGGGATATATATATATACTTTATGATAGTCGGAGACGTTAAAGACTTCATGACATAATTAAAATACCTTCTACAAGGATCAACTTTGTCGGACATACAGCTACGAAAAAATAATCAGTTTTTCTCCTATTTCTTCTTTAGAATCTTTAAAAAATGGCTGTCTAAAATTAATCAGTTAGGAGCTAAGTCAAGCCTTTATATCTTGAAAAACAAAACATTTGTTTGCACTAAAGCTTAGTACTTGTCCGATCGATCCAATGTGAACTGTATTATATTTATTTTTATAAATGTCGATAGAACTTTGTTTGTATGTGTTAAACAAATTTAGATTTGGAATTGTCAGCTTTGGCCAGGATACATTAACAAACAAGTAAGAGGAACCTTCTTCTTCCAACAGGCGATAGGTATAAAATGAAAGATACTTGATATATATATACTATTCTAGAAGCTACATGTCAAGTTTGGTGAATCTAGCTCTTATTATTTGCCGAAATTGCTCAAAAAACAGGATTTCGATATCGATTTTTATCGATTACGAAACAGGGCAAGTTATATATCGGAATATCGGAAACAAACTCGATCTGCGCGGGGACTAGGAGGACCTACAGCTAAAAGTCAAGTCTCTAGCTCTTATAGGTTCTGAGATCCTTGCGTTCATACATACGGACAGACCGACAGACAGACAGATGGACATGGCTATATCGACTCGACTATTGATGCTGATCAAGAATATATATATTTTTTATGGGAGATGCTTCCTTCTGCCTGTTACATACATTTACACAAATACATTGGGTTCAGGGTATAATAATATAGTTAGGAACTTAAGGTGCCTAGCTAAGTAGTTTTTAGATGTATTTACAGCTGTTTGTTCTTAGTGGAAGAATACATTATTATTCGATGAGCTTCAAACACATTTTCAAAAATCTTCCTCATGCAATTTTTGTTCTCGAAAAATGCACCTATCTGCGCGACAAATGGAGGTCTAGGATTGACTGTGGTATTATTAATATATACATATATGCATATCTTTATGTCTTACTATTTTAACACAGATACTCGTAAAACAATTATGAGTTTTCCAAGTACATATTAAACCACTTGGAACGGGCTATTATAGCGCAATAAGCGCACTAATGATACACATATATGGCAACTAGTTGCATAAATATAGAATTTATAATTCTATAAAAAAAAGAAGAAAAAGTGAAAAAATAATAAAAACAAGAAATAAGAGGAAACTCACAACCGAGAACTCATAATGCTGCCAAT